AAACTGTGCTGTTTCTCTTTGCCAGCAAACATGCAGGATTGTATAAAAACAGATGTGTCATCCTAAAAACCATGTAGGGAGGCAGCCAGTCCGAAAACAGGAAAAAATATGTAAATACTTCTAAATAACTTCATGTGTGACCACGCTTATGGAGAAATTGTTCCCCCCCCCAGTTTTTGCAAAAACAAAGTAAAAAAATACAATTGTTGTCTTAAACCCTGAGAAGGGTCTTTTCCAGGGTGATGATGGTATTCACTTTGGAATTTGCTAATGATCTGCATATTCACAAACCGATGAGCAGTGGAGAAATATCTTTTTTCTTATTTTTTTCCCCCATGTGTGCTTATTTCTTTCTGAAGGGTATACCAACCTGTGACCCCCTTGCTTATCCATTGCTTGAACCCTTTCTCATACATTGCTGGTTTGAAATTGCTATCATATGCTACTCACCTGGGCATTTTCATTTCACTTCTTTCTTTATCCTGTGTTTTTTTTAATGTTTTGAACCACAATTCCATTGTCAACACTGTTGCTCCACCTGAACCTAAACTTTTGAACATCCAGCAGCCCTTTCATATGACACAAAACCATTTTTAAAAACAAATGTTCATTTTTTTTGTTTTTTAAACTAAATAGAGTTTTTTTTTTGTCTGAATATTTAAACTGTGCTGTATCTGACTGTCTTTAATTCTATTAAATATTTTAAACTATTCACACACTCCTGAACCTTGTGTAAATCACTTTGGTTAACTTCCATGATTTTAAAAGTGTTTATAAATAAATCTGAACATCCTTCCAAAAAAACAAAAACAACTTTAGGCTACTTCTTTTGTCTTTATAAAACGTTGTCATGAACAATGTGGTCAGAAGAATCTGGGTATAAAACATTGCTTTTTCACTTTTGTTTTTATTCATATCATAACTTTTGATGAGAGAGAGTGGATTTGCACTCTTCAAGAAATTGGGAACTATTACATCTCCAAATGTTTCCCTGAGTCAATGATGATGGACCTCAAATTGTGTGAAAATGGTCTAATGACCTACATTGGTAGCTAATAAAACCGTTCTACGTATATGAAGCATTTGCTCGTCAATTATTTTGGAGCATTTCACTTTCCAATTAAAAATCTGATTAAAAAAAGTTTGTGTGTACTTTTAGTTTGTCTTTGTTGTGTAATGATAGGTTTGGCCATCTGACAGAGGACTGATATCATTTAGAACCGAATGAAATCATAGCCTTCTATAATGGTTCGAAACCTAAAGCCCTACAATTGTACATTTTAAATTTTGCAGGCTAAAACATTAAACTCAAAAAAATATGTGTAACAAAGGTAGACCATAAACTACACTGGTGTTTTTAATTCTATTTCCGAGAAAAAAATCACTGTGTTCAACCACCTTGAAACCAAATAATTTCCCTTGTCTGAAAGTGCCTCTTCAGGTTTCCTCACTCAATAGTGGATTCTTTCATTTTTCTGTGGGTATTATACATTTAATCAAAATATACTTCTAAACTTTAGTGATTAGTATTGAAACTCCCAGAGAAACATACTCGCAGTTGAATTCCAACGTCTGCACACTTAAGTTAAAACAAAGAAGCAATTGGAGTAAGCTGTCGGAGAATCATTTTGGAGCAGGAAGTGTGTAATTATTGCAGACAGAGGGACAGATAGATGGATGTGTTTGTGTTTAACACTCCCACTCAATTTCCCTGCAATCTACTGGACTAATAGAAAGCAGGTGTCTCTCTTTCTCCATCCCTTCCTCTCTCTGCATGTGTGCGTATGAGAGCGAAATATGTCATGTTAAAAAACGGATAAGATGCTCTTGAATCGAGTTGTTGAACTCGGTGGATAAAGTGAACCTTTGGACCAGTTCCTGTTAGTTTTTTGAAAGATTTTCATGTGATGTTGAGTTTTCGTTATGCTCAAAGGTTCATTGAACTGCAAAAATAGGTGGCGATAAACAAAGAAATTCAGATATATCCCTGGTTTTAGTTTGGAAATCTCACACATTATAGTGACACAATCTAATATTAGTCATTCAAGCATGGTTTAAACTTAACTTTTTTTATTGTCTGTTCCTAAAAAACAAACTGGTACTAAAACATGGAGTTGAATTGCACTGGGCTACTGAAGAGAATGCATGGCTTTAATGTAACAGCTGGCAGAGATTTATGGAAGGCCAAAGGTGCCACAGTTCAGTGAAAAGATTAACTGTTACACCATAACAAAGCTCCAGATACAGCATCAATAAACTGCAGGAGAAGTAGCCCTTTACCTATTGGTCACTGCTGACGGGAGTAAAAAAACATCCTACACACTTCTGTGAATATGACATAACCATCTATAAACATATTTTTGAACATACTTTTCAAAAAGCAGACATTTTTGTGATAAGAATATATTCTTTTTTATTGGACGGATGATATATTCTACTCTTAAATGTCGTGTTTTTTCAGCTGAAAGTAGAAAACAGCCATAATTAGCCAAAATATAGACTTGAAAACATCAATGTGTTGGGACTAAATGTATATAATGTGTTATCTTAGAAAATATTGTAACATAAAAAAATATTTAACATATTTTGAAAAAGTCTAAAGTGAATACTACCTGCAGTTTGTCACTGTTTTAACTACCCACTGATACACAAATAGGTAATGATGGATAAAATAAATTGCTAAGGTGTTGCAATACACCCAAATTAAATAATCTTAGTGTTAAATGACCAGGTGATTATTTTTAAAATAAAGGTCTTTTTTTTTTTTTTTTTTTTTTTTTAAATCAGTGCCATTTTTTTAAGAAATATTTTCAGATTTAGCTGCTTTTACTTTTAGGTAATCATGTAACATTCCATATATTTACTGAATCTTTGCACTTTTAGTCAGACAGATCGGAAAGAAACGGAAAGAAAAGATTACAATGCAGTAAACAACAACAAACAACTGCGGTAAGCAGAATTGGCTGGAACGTTATGTAAAAATTAACTTTAGAAAGTGCAGCTATCAGTATGCAGAGGGTGTCTGTAGTATGAGCAGGATCGGTGCACACTGTACAATCCCATGCATGCAGTGCTGTTTCACATTGGTCACAGCGTTTCTCGCCTTTTTCCTACCAATCCTCAGTTTCCTCCCTCAGCAATAAAGAGGGATGCCTGGAACATAAAGAGTGAATCCCTGTGAATACCTTTCCTTGCTCTCAAATTATGAAATAGGATGCAGTAGGTACACATTTGTGCTTTCATTTCTCGGCCATGTGAATTTTATCCAGAGAGACATAAGATAAAATGCAAGAAGCGTTTTCCTGAAGGCAGAATTTTGCACACATTTTTGTGACTTGCCCTCACAAGCCATTTTAAAGCAGGATACTCTTCAGATCTGTATTTCCCTCGCAAGCATTGTGTGAGGGGCATCTCTTTTTTCCAGCATTTTTTGTGCATTTGTGCATTAATCCATAAAGTCAGGGATTGAGGTCTAGGATATTTTCCCAGCCACCATGTTTAAGCATCTTTATTCCAGATGTTGTTTATCTTTTCTCAATTTACAAGCTATAATCTAATTTCAAGAGTTTATTGTGCTGTTGTCATGTATGAGGCGTGAGCAGGATGTGGTAAGTGCATGGCTATAAAAGATTACTGTATGACAGAGGGATAGATGAATGATTAATCAGATAAAAGATCCAACTAAATGAAAATCCTATCCTCCTCTGTTTGAATTATTTACATAAAACAATATATTATGCATATGGAAAAATATAGACAGGTTACAATTTCCATGCATTGCTCCTCTTTGGTGCTCTTCAAGCCAATGGGATAGTTTGTTTGACAATGATTTGTTTGTGTCTTGTGCTTAGGCCTTTATATCAAATAGTATCAGAAACAAAAACAAAATAATCAAACATTTTTTTTGTCATAAAGAAAACCAGTCTTTTTCATGTTCTCATTTTGATCTTGAAAGGGATTACTTGTTTTCATACATTTGTCTGCCTAGATGCTTAGTTAAAATTTTGTGTCAGGATGGAAAGTTTAAGCATGTAGTTTTATTTAGTCCACACAAAGCATTTTGTTGCAATTCCTATTTGATATCAAAATCCAAGGAAGGTTTTTTTTTTTTTTTTGTCTGGTCCTTTGTTAGTTGTTACAACAAGGCAGCATGAGTATCACTTTATACAACCTATACAGTTCTACCATTACCTGGCTATAATCTCTTTCTCATGAGAGCCTGCTGTTGCCTTATGAACACGACTGTTAATGCTCAAACCGACACTTGGGGTATCAGGTATTTTTAGCAGTCTTTTCCTTTTGCAGTGAGCTGCAGGCCGCTTGGGGTCTGGAGTGAGCCTAGATATTTGTCACGTTAAACCATGGTTGCAGGAAAACCTCTCAGAGTTTGCATTGTGTCCCATTGGAATGCGCTTTGGGACCTGGAAGGTCTTGCCCCTTGACAGCACCCTGATTCACCCTTTTTATCTTTAGATCTAAAATATTTGAGACAGCAGCAAAAGAAGGATCGCACCCAGAACAATTCAGAAACACATAAAAGTTGTTGATTTTTGTATCAATTAAGCTCTTTCATATTTAGTGTCACTTATTAAATAATTGTCCTAAAAAACATTCACATTAAGAAAAAAAATCTTAGGTCATTGATAGAATCAATTAAAAAAACTGTTATTCCAGTTCATTACTGCTTTTAATATCTATTATATTTAGAAATAATTTTTAAAATTTTAATTACAAGAATTTAATTTCAATTTAAACTGAAATTTCCTCTGTGAATCATTTAATGGCACCATTGTATCAACTTTTTTTTTATTATTTGGTAATATGCTTGTTATTAAAAATCAATAGACTATCTTTGTTTCGATAATCATTACAACCATCATGACTATAAAGCCAGCTTTAAGACTACATTTCCCAGCAGGCCTCCTCGGGGGGGCGTTCGTCTACGTCATTGCTCTCAGCCAATAGGATCATTTCCTACCCGGAATCTCCCAGAAAAGAGGGACATTTAGTTTGGTGATTTCGGAAAGAACATTTTTTTTCTATCGTTTTGACACCGAAAGTAATGTTTTAATAACACCGCAATCTTTTTTGGAAATACAACAGTTTGATTCCTATGCATGTTATTTACAAGTAAGTTCTCATTTTAAACGCCCGCTGTCGAGTTTGTCGGCTGTTCTAAAAAAAAAAAAAGCTACATAAAATGACGAACGGCTCATTAAAAAGCCTTTCAAATGGTTGAAATGCTCCTTATTCTTAATTTAGGCACCGGTTGGCATTCAGCAGCTGTTGTTTGAGTTATTTGTTGGTACCTTCATAAACTGCAGAATGTAGTGGATGAAATGAAGACATCCTGTGGTCTGGTGTTGATACTGCACACAGACACTTTCAGTCGCAGGGGGTTGACGTTTTTTATTGTTATCCCTGGTTCTGCACACCTGAATCAAATAACTAAATTACCTCTCTTCAGTGTCCTGATTATTTGATTCCAGGTGTGTTGAAGCATAGATAAGTCTGAAAGGTGCAGAAAGTGGGACATCGAAGTTGGAGACCTTTCAATTAGAGGCATAGAAGGACAGGAAACAGGTTATTGCCATCATTCAAAATGATGAATTTAATGTATTTTTTGTGTTAATAATATACCTGTTTGTGTTAAAGCTGGAATTTAAAAATATTTCACCTTTAGAAGTTTTTTTTTTTTATAATACTGTCCTGCAGGTTTTGGATGCATCCCCGATCTAACATGCTGAATCAAATGAATGAATAATTACCACCTTTGTGAAACTTGATGCCATGCTGAAGAGGTAATTCAGTCATTTGAAACTCTGGTGTGAAAGCATCTATATTCAGGCTGCAAGTAACGATTATTTTGCAAATCGATTAATCTGTCGATTATTTTTTCGATTAATTATTTAATAGCCAAAGATTTTTTTAAAGAAGACTTTTTACAATATTGAGAGCAGGTGAAATAAAATAAAAAATCCACTTGTGGATTTTGGGTAGAGTATATTAATACACAATTAATTATGTTTTAATTTTAAATGCAAAGTGTTTTTTTTTTTTTTTTTTTTACAATCTTGGTATAATTGCTTCTCTGAGTTGCTCTGTCAGCTAAACGCATGTTTTAGAGTCTCTATACTCCAGTTAAAGATTTATCGATTACTAAACTAATTGATTATTATCCCGATAATTGTTAATCCCGATTCAGCCGATTAATTGTTTCAGCCCTAATCTGTATGGATGTGCTCAGTGCAAAGGAAAATTGCAGAATTGGTTGAAAATAATTGCAATATAAATTTTTGTGGAAATCATTCCATTTTAGATTAGATTTCTTTTCTACTTTTAGATGAGCATGAAAAAGATAATACACTAAATTAAAAATAGTATATTTAGGATGGCTGTCCACCCTCATTCCTTCTCTGTACATCTTTGTTTATCCATGTTTCTCTTTTTGCTCACATCTGTTTCTCAGGGCAGTATTAGGGTGCGATAGTGTAGCTGAAAATTGTGATCATAATATTCATCATAACTATCTTTCATTTCCAATTTCCTAACCACTTAACATAACTTTAGCATCCCGGCCAACAAGGAAAATCAGCTCATGTGGGCATTAAGGGTAGTTGGAAGCCATTTGATGAGCCTAATCAGATATAGATATGCAGTACATTAACAAACAACTGGAAATAAAACATAGATACAACACATTGCATACAAAGCAGTTCTTAGCAGCTGCATTAAAACAGGAATCTTTTGAATTTAGCCTTCAGAACAAAATAAAAATGGATCAGATGCCCTGCAAATTTCAGTGTATATATATATATA